CTCACATGGCTTCACACTGCCCTCTGCTGGCCGTGTGGAGTGGCGGCTGCTTCTCGCCTCCTGTCCTCTTTCTAGCTTCCCAAAAGGAGGCCAACCCGGGGCCAGTCATTTCCTTGGGTGGCTTTGAACTGTGCGGTGTCCTAGGCTTGTTTATATCCTCCGACACTGTCACCTGAACCAGTGTGGTGCCGAGACCTTCCTGGTTGTGACTGGTAAGCCCAGGGTCACCCTACAGCATGCCTGTGATCTCCTGTGGGAGCCATGGGACACACGTCGGCCAAAGATAGGTATCTCCCATCCAAGCCCATTTTTGTGCTGTCTAGGGCTTGGGGTGGGTTGGGGCTCAGAGACATAGTCTCACTGTATTGCCCTGTGGGTGTTTGGAAACTTGGGGTGCATTTCTGAGTGTCATAGGAACATGGGGACAAGGCTGGCTTTGAGTAGATACAAGGTCAGAGATGGCGGGAGTCTGCGATGTGCCAAGTGCGCTCCCATAGGCTGCTGCCTCTGTGACGATCCAGGATCCTGTCTGCTCATGGTGGCTGCAAACCTGTTGTCATGATTTGAACCCAGGCCTTTGCTCTGTGCTGCATCCTGACATAGGTCATGCCCTAATTTGCTCCTCCATTGCTGTGATAAACACCATGACCAAAAACAACCCAGGGAGGGAAAAGGTTGATTTGGTTTAGACGTTACAGTCCATCACTGAAAGAACTCAAGGCAAGAACCTGGACACAGGAACTGAAGCAGAGGCCATGGAGAGATGCTGTTAACTGGCCTGCTCCGCATGGCTTGCTCAGCCTGCTTTCTTACAGAACCCAGGACCACTTGTCTAGGCGTGGCACTACCACAGTGGGCTGGGCCCTCCCATATCAATCGGTAATCGATAAAATACCCCACTGATTTGCCCACAGGCCAATTTGAGGGAAGCATTTTTTCAGTTGAGGTTTCTGTTCTGGTGGAATTCCACCTCAACTCCCCTCCCCCATCTTTTTCCCCAAACCAGCCCCCTCAAAGCCCACCAAGCACGGCTTCTCCCCCAGAGATGCTCAAGACCGCTCCTATAGGGTATTTAAACTGCATCCCAGAAAACAGACACGTGGTTTTTCGGTCTCTTGTCCCTGTCTCCTCTCTGGAGAATCACCTGGGAACGCTTTACCCATTAAACCGGGGCTTTTTCTTATTTGGTCTGATTTGGATCGCTGTGTCGGCAGAGAGGCTTATGGGGATGCAAAAACCTTTCAGTTTCCTCTTCCCAGACAATTCAACCTCATGTCAAGTTGAAAATAAATAAATAAATAAATAAATAAATAAATAAATAAATAAATAAGGAGCCAAGGCAGGTTGTTTTTGTTTTCTGGCTTACTGTGTCCTGCATTTACCTAGCATGGAGCTACAGGCAAGGTGTCCATTCCTCTGTAGTAAAGCCCGCACGACACAGCTGCCCACTCGGCCTGCCAGGACTCCTGTCCTTACAGGTGGCCTGCTTTCAATGATTTTGTGCAGGGGCTCTGGTCCACCCCTGGACCAGGGCCACCCTGGTCCCTCATTACATCCTCTAGGGTGTGGACGTGCCAGTCCATATTCATTAGATAGTTTATCCCTTCACTTCTCATACTTCATAGGAATGTATGTTGTTTTCAAAAGTTTGTGTGCAGACCTGATTATGGAATGTGATGTGGAGGGGAAGGGGTACAGCGTGTGTGTGTGTGTGTGTGTGTGTGTGTGTGTGTGTGTGTGTTAGCTGGGGTTCTCTAGAGGAACGGAATGCATGTATATTATAAAAGGGGATTCAATAAACTGGCTTATACCATAGGGGCACTTGGGAGTCGGGAACAGAAGGATCATTGCAAATTCAAAGCCAGCCTGGTCTAGACAATGAGTTATAGGCTGGGCAGGGCTACATAGCGAGACCCTGCTTCAAGCAAGCAAAAATCAAACCAAACCAAACCAACCAACCAACCAAACAAACAAAACCCCCAAAAACTAACGGTGTGATTATCAACCAACCCCCGCCCCCAAAACACAGTCTATCAGTTTCCCACTCAGGCAGAATCTGAGTTTCTGCTCTGAGATTTGAGTGTGTGCTGCCAGAGGTCCTGGCCATTGCTTCTGAGGTGGCTCATCCCTTTCCAGGCTGCCCGTGTTCTATTTCCAGCCTTTCCTCTGGGCACAGCGATTACTATCTGCTTTTCTCTGCAGCTGTCCTTGCCTGCATTGGCCTGGTCACAGCAGCCTTTCCAATTTGTGGCCCCACCTCTCTAACCTGCCCCTAACCCTAATCTGCCCCCCTTGACATCCAGATCTGTTCCACATACTGTGAGTGTGCAGCTCCAGTGACCACTAGAGGGCACCCTTGAGCACTCACATGCATTTGTATTGTCCTTTCAAAGCAGGATACATCTCACCCAGCAAAGGATGTGGCACTCAGGTCCCCTAGGGGAGACTGTGTTGGTGACACCCCAGAACAGTTTGCCGGGAGCTTTCAGAGCTGCTGTGTGTGCTTGGGGGAGGAAGGTTTAGACCAGTGGTCCTCAACCTTCCTAATGCTGTGACCCTTTAATACAGTTCCTCATGTGGTGGTGACCCCCAACGATAAATTTTATTTTCATTGCTACTTTATAACCGTAATTTTGATACTTTTATGCATCATAATGTAAATATCTGTGTTTTCCAATGGTCTTAAGCGATGACCCACAGGTTGAGAACAACCGTTTTTTGACCAGTACTGCTGCGTTGAGAGAGATCTCACTGAAGGAGCGGTAGGTTCATGCCAAGGTTTACTGTTCTGTCTTTGGTGTTGTGTTGGATAGTTTTATGTCAGCTTGACATAAAACTAAAGTCATTTGAGAGGAGGGAGCCTCAATTAAGAAAATGCCTCCATAAGATTGGGCTGTAGGCAAGCCTGTAGGGTATTTTCTTAATTAGTGATAGAAGAAGGCCCAGCTCACTGTGGGTGGTGCCATCCCTGGTCTGGTGGTCCTGGGTGCTGTAAGAAAGCAGGCTGAGTTAGCCACGGGGAACAAGCCAGTAAGCAGCACCCCTCCATGGCCTCTGCCTCAGCTCCTGCCTCTAGGATCCTGCCCTGCTTGAGTTCCTGTCCTGACTTCCTTCGGTGATGAACAGTGATGTGGAAGTGTGAGCCAGATGAACCATTTCTTCCCAAGTTGCTTTGTTCATGGCATTCACTCACAGCAACAGAAACCCTAAGACAGGAGTGGACTTGTGCCCTTTGCAAGATCTCAGGGCGGCAAGGCTGTTCCCGAATGAGTCTCGGTGACATTACTCTTGAGCCATATCTGTGGACCTGAAAGGCAGAGGTGGTGGGAGTGTCTTGGCTGCATCTTAGGCACAACTCTGAGTTTGAGAGCCCCAGAGTGTACCTGTGCCTTCCTGACACCTGAAGCCTTACAGAGCAGGGTATAGGCTTGTGCAGCTCTGCATCTGTATCCAACACGGGGACCTTTCTGCTTGCTCTCCTGGCTCTCTGCTTTGCAGTGATCATCTGAGCTGGAGGGACCTGGGGCTGCACCCACTGATGACCAGGAAGGAGGAGACATGTGGTTAGACTATTGTCTCCCTTTGATGCCAGGAGACAGTCCTGAGGATACAAAGGCATCAGGGTCCAAAGCCGAGCCTGTGTCCCTTGGAATCAATCATGCAAATTGCACATAGAATTGGCTTCCTCGCTGGCCTCTAGCACCCTGCAAAGGCTGCAAATATCTGCTAGAGGAAGGATCTGTGTTGGCATAGAGACAATGAAAAGTGGAGCTCAAGACCAACTCTCTTCTCTCCAGGATGCAAGCAGGAAGGGTCAGGGCACTGAATGGTCACCGGGAAGCTTAAGACTCACACATCGTCAGGAGTGTGGCATCTCCTCATGGAATCTCGGGTACCTACACCCAACTGGTCCAGTTGCGATTATCCATGGCCAGCCACGATCAGAAAATATTGAAGCTACTTTTGGAGGGAGACCATATTTGCCCCACTTTAATTACAGCATATTGTCAAGACCACTCTAATTATGGCTAATGAGGTTAATCTCTCGCTGTCTTTAATTGAGAAATAACCTTGTCACGGGTACATCTGGGGGCATCTGCAGCAGCCCTGAGATCCAGCAGCCCTGAGACGCAGGCATCCCCCTAAGAGTCCTGAGTGTATTCCCCGAGAGGGTTTATTTCAGAACTACCACAGAAGGCTCAACTCTGTAGTGTGAGGTGACCTCAGGAGAACAGGTGGCCTGGTGAAGCAAGAGGATGCAGGGAGAAATGAACTGAAGCACAGAACCAGGAGGGCACGCCTATGCCCGGGCCACACTCACCAATGCACAGGCCCGCACACCCTCACCAGGCCACACTCACCATGCTCACCTGCGCCCTTCCCCCATGTTGTAGGACACCGCAGGAGCCACTGGCCTGTACCTTTCTGACCTACCTATCAGGGTCTCTGTTCTGTGTCCTAGAGGTGGGCGCAAGGTGTAGGGGGAGACCTTGGCCCTAGGCCACAGCTGCTCTATAAAGATGAGTTCCAGCAGATCACCTGGCTAAGAACGGAGGAAGCCCAGATCTCAAGCAGCCCACCCTCAGCCACGGGAGGGCTGCCTGGCTGCCTAGCAGCCGCTTCCCAGAACCCGAGCCTAAGCCTGAAACCTGTCTCTTGCAGAAGCAGATCCCTGAGCAGGGCAGGGCACTCCCTGATGTAGCTGCCCCGATCCTGGGACATGAGGAGATATGGGCAGGGCTGTCTTGGCTATGCCTGTGGGGTTGCAGTGGTGGCGGCCTTCATGTCCCAGTGGACAGAGCAGAGGACATGGGTCAGGGAACACAACCTAAAGACAGATGCCTAGGAAGTGCTGGAGAGAGCAGGCCGACTCTACAGTGAGTGGGTCCCACCATGCAGCCAATCAGAACTCCCACCAGGCAGACACATGCATCTTCAGACAGTGCACACATGGACTTGACTCAGGAAAACGCAAACCACTAGGAGCACTTGACACCAAATGCACGTAAAAACTTTATATAAAATATTTTATTAGCAGTCTTTATTTCTTCCAAGTATCTAACTTTATATTGACACAACCCGCTCCTCAAGCTCCCCTGCTGGGTTCTGCTGGCCTTTCCATCACACTCTCATTTAGCTGGTGTTTGTCAACAGCCTCGATGGATTTCCCATTGGCCTTCCGTCTCCTGGGCCACAGGCATGGGTGAATTGTTTCTTTCCTCCTTGGAGTAAAGGTAATGGGGAAAGGCTCAGAGGCTGGTGTGCGGCCGACGGGAAGGGGAAAAAAAATCACCGAATAATACTCTCTGACATGTGTGGGAGCAGCCCTGCACGGGTGCACATACGAGCGTGCCCATGAGTGTACATGCAAATTCCTGTGTAGACACCCGAGCACAAGTGCGTGGACACCAGCATCTCTGACCTGAAGGGAGAGTCTAGCACCTACGGTGTGCAGTGCTCATGGGCTCACCCCCTCTCTGGGAGAATCCCTGGAGAGTTCAACTCTCTCTTGACAAAGGCATTGGAGAGGCTGGGGGCGGAGGCAGGATGGGATGGACAGCGGAGGGGGCTGGACGGAGGAGAGCAGCCCCACCCCTGCACCCAACCTTTTCTGAACCTCAGCCCGGCAGGGCCCCACAGGCCTCCCTCTCTGATGAGGCCCCCGCAAATGCTGTCCCTGGACTTCAGTTTCTACCTCTGCTAACATGAGGAGGTGGTATAGCCTTTAACCTGATGGAATCCTTCAATTGAAGGAGCTCAACTGGAGATAAAAGGAAGGCCTGGGTCCTTAGAGTCACATGGAACCCAAATGCAAGGGAAGTCAGCCTGACTTTAACATCAGTGTCGGGAAAGGCGCACACTGCTGGATACCTCCTACCATGACGGAGACAAATGGGCAGAGGAAGAAAAGCGAATGCTCTAGAAATCCAGACTGCATCTCTGGAATCCAAACTATATATGTGGTGGTAAGCAGAGCCACGCTCCAGGGCACCTGCGGACACTGGATGAGGGACAAGGATGTAGCATCCCCTAGTATGGCTGTTAGCCTTCCTCAAGTCTGCAGAACGAGTGAGCAATGCTGTCCTGTGGGGTGACTTCTGGCCCCTTGCCTGTTCTGGTCAATACCCTTTAAAAACTGCCCTCGTCACCCTGCCCGTCAGCAGCCTACCAGCTCTTGTATCATGAGCTCAGACTCGGCCCAATGGAAGGACCCCATTGCACCCTCATTTACTTAGGGATGGCGACAAGCTGTTCACAGTAGCGAGGAGAAACCTGGACAGGGAAGAACTCCTCCAGAGGGTGAGGCACTCTCCCAGATTTGAAACATGGACCACTCTGCCTCTTTGATTGACAGCAGAACAGTCTCAATGGAGAAAGTCAGCCCCTGGCAGATCCTGCTGAGCATGACCCAGTACACCAACCCAGACTCACCCAGCGTGAGTCTGAGATCTGAACACCCAACTCCCATTCCTTTTAATGCACACTTTCCCATCGGTCAGTAGGCATCCTCTCTGGATGCGATGTAATGCCTAACATCTTGAAATTAAATGAACACTTTTTTTTTTTTAAATGAAGACTTTTTATAAAGGCGAATCGTGTCCCTGGTTAAAAGCTGAATCTAGAAGGCAATGCCATGTTTGTATAGAACAAGCAAACTGAAAATTACATTGTAATATGCATTTCAATTGTGTTCTCTATAAAAGATCTAGGAGTGAAAAAAATAAAAAGAATCTCTAAATATTTTCAAAGCACATCCATGCGTTAAGTAAAATTCGGACCCTTATCGTTCCCTACAAGTAAGATATGAAAGCTTCAAGGCCACGGCCGAGGAATCTCAGGACCTGTCAGAACATGATTTAGTGCAATTACTTACTGGTGTGGAAACCGGGGCTCACAGGGGTAAACGGACCTACCCATACAAATACACAGGCTTTCCTGGGAGACTCCATCCCAGAGTGGCAGTGCTCCAGAAGCAAGCAAGCTGTATTTTCCTAAAGGGGACATCCACGGCACCTCCCCTTCCTATTAGCCGGCCTGCCCCTCACCGATGCCCCACGGCCCCCCTCGCCCTCTTATTTCAAGGGACACGCCCAATGTGTCCCCAGGCCGGCTTCCCAGGCTCAATGGAGGTAGTTAATGTGATTCATGAAGAAAGAGGGAAAAATGTTCTTTAAAAACTGACAAAGTTAATCTATGTATTTCTTGGGCAAAATAAAAGTGGCCAGAAAAACTAGGAAGAAATAATCTATTTTGCTTAAAATAGAAGCACATGAAAAAGGAAGGTCCGGAAAGGGCCTGCCAACATCTCCCTCAGCCCCGTTGGCATCACTTAGTCCCTGCTGGCCCAGCACAGCTGGTGTGGTGCTCTCCCTCGCCTGGAACCCACGTCTGACCGACCTTCTGTGGTTGTATCTGTGAGTCCCACTCGGTGACTATATGGGACTCTTCTATTTCTAAGCAAACGCACCTTTCACACCCTGAATCAGTCCTCAAGAAGTACTGGAAAAGATACAATCTCTCAAAATGAGTGAAATTTATCGACTTTGGCTCGGAAAAGTGACTTCATCAGAAATGAACTTGAGCTCATCAGAGACGAATTTTAGAAAGATGAGACCATAAGAAATGACAGTCATCAAGCGGAGTCCCGCCAGGTGTGGACGTTTCCCCACCAAGATATCCACCTCTCCGGGGACCAACGTGGCCAGCACTCCTCATCCAGGGCCAGTGTGTCCTGGACTCCAGGAGGAGTCTGCTGAGGAAGCCTCTTGTCCCCAGCTGGGTCGCAGGATGACACCCTGTGCCGGCTGTATTTTAAATCCTGCATGTAAAAAACCCCAACCGTCCTACATCTTCCTAGTTAAAGCTAGAAAAGGGAAAGAACAGTTCCAACCCGGCGGGCAGAGGTGCTGAACACTGGTCACCAGCGACCTGCGACCTGCGACCTGCGTGGCCTCCAGGTTGGGTTGGGAGAGTCTGTGTCACCAGGAGCAGGCACACCGCTGCCTCCCAGCAGTGCCCTTGGGCACAATGTCTGCTTTGCCTCCTTGCTGGCCTGCGGGTGTTTTACCTCTCGGCCCGGATTTTGTATCTCAGGACAAAATAGGCAATGAGCCGCAGGGAAACGAAGAAAATGCCTAAGACGATGAAGTCCAGGTACAGTTTGGCATTCTCCACATCCAGCTCGCGCAGGATGGCCTCTGACTTCTGGAAGTGGCACGTCTCTGCAATGTCACAGTGTAGATCCTCCCGGTCCAAGCCATAGATGGAGAGGATGACCCCCTCGAAGCCATATCTAGGGAGAGGAGCGCCCGGGTATGAAGGGCATCCATTGCGGAAGGTCACTCTGCTGGCTCTCCACTCTCGGGGGGCCCCCTTCCCTGAACTGCTTCCTGACCCCACAGCCATCTTCCTAAGACAACTCTCTAGAGCCCTTCTACCTTGTTCCTAGTCCGGTTTCTTCCAAGGCCACCAGGGAAAATGTAAAGTGGAATGAACCGTGTTTTATCCACTCGGGCAATAAATAAAAACAAAAAAATATATTTGGCTTCCTTCCAATCCTGCACACCTTTTCACTGTTATGTCTAGCTAAGGGTTGGATATCCTGGCAAGAACACCGGAGCATTTAAATCAAGCCCCTTTTGGTCCAGTCTTGTCTTGCAGGACAAAAGCACCAATCTTCAGAAGAAAGGCGCTGGTCTCCGGTTTCCCAGGATTGGCAAGCGCGCGGGCAGCTGAAACTCTGTACAAGGGCTTTGTGTCTGTCTTGTTCTCCTGAACAATGTAGCGGGGGCCTAAGCTGACACTCCAGGAAAGCAGCACTTGTTCCCAGCGTGGACCTTTGTGATCAGGGAAATGGCTGCAGCTGGGGTGGGGGTGAGGACACAGGCCCAAGTCCTAAGGATGGACACTGACCGCCCAGGGAATGGCCAGTGTGCAGGGCCACTAAGACAGAAGGGTGGGACTTTGGTAGACCCTGGACCCAAACAGCCAGAAAACTCTAATTGGAAGGCACTGGGATGTTTCAGCGAGGGCACAGTGCACCTTGTTGTGCCTTGTTTACGTTTTATAATCAGGATCTCATGGTGGCATTTTTTTTTTTTTACATAAAAGATGGGCACACCTTTGGAAATGCCCAGAATGTGAGGGCATGCCAAAGCATCTTCAGACTAGGAGTCTATATGCACTTGGGTGCACTGGAAGGGTGAGGCGCACAACTAAGAAGAACACAAAGGCTTATTCTTGGACTCGGGATGCAGATTCAGATTCAGTGGGCAGCCGAGCGGTGGTTGTTTTGAGTCCCTCCTCCAACACCACTCACTCAGTTCCGGGGTCCGCCCCTCCCACCACCACTGCCCACACGTACCTAACATAGGAGATATAGGACATCCACTGCAGGTAGGCTGGGATCGTGTCAAAACTGACGAAGAATCCGGAGAAGAGCAGGACAGGGATGGCAGTCACAGGACCCACGAACGTCGCAACCTGGAAGCGAGACAGGGACATGAGGAGTACTCACTAGATGGGGCAGAGGATATCCCACCCAATCACCTGACCCTGAGGACATCCCCTGTGGTTGGAGAGGAGGAATCTCAAAGGGCTAGAGTCTCACTGGGCTGGCCAAGACCAGGATGGCCAAGAATGTCCCCTAGCAGGGCCAGAAGTCAATCTCCTGAAGAGGGGCCCTGCAACACAGGCTGAAGAAAATGAACATTATTTCCTGAGGGCAGAGGCCAACACTTTCTGGGAATGGTCTCTGAGGGGCTGTAGTGAGAATTTATAGCCGTCCCTGATGCTGACAATTGGGTAGAGCCACCTCTCTGGGGGTTCCACCTAGAGGCAGAGATACTGTCTCCAACCTACGGTGGCACCAAATGCCAGAGCCAGGTTTCAAGGACCCCATGGGACCCACTGGAAGGCCCCTCCTCTTGGGTCTTGCTGTCCCTGAGAGCTAAGGGCAACACCTGGCAAGCTGGCAAGCAGCTGTTCCCACTGGCCAGGCTCCGAGGGAAAGATTCTAGGGTGCAGGTGTGATGTGCATGTTGTGTGTGGTGTGTATGTTGTATGTACATGAGCTTAAAGGACATCCATCACCCAGTCAGATACACCCTCTGGGGTCCACAGCTCTTGGGGGAGAGGCGGAGAAGGGTCTGAGAAGGTGAGATGGGGGAGTCAACACAGGGGATAAAGCCATCTATGAAAACAGTATGGTTCTGATGTCTGGGTGACACTGGCTGGGTACATGGGCTATACTGAGATAGGAAGTCTACATGGGGGTGACATGTTATTCTGTGGGCCTGATTTGGGACTGGTATGTCCTAGGCCCTTCTTTGGAGTGTTGTCTTCTTGTGACAATGCCATGAGGCAGATACCATGGCTGCTCCCATCTCTTAGTGAGGACCCTGGACCCTGGAGGCCAGGAAGCCATTGTTGAGGACACTGGAGATGAACTGGGAAGTATATGGCGCCCAGGAGCCCTTGGAACATGACTTGGAACCTCAGGAGCCTAAAGTGGCTTTGGCTTGTTAAGGAAAGGGAGGCAACTGGAGTTGGAGATGAGACCAGGTTTCCAAGAGACAGAGAAGGGCTGAGGTGAAGAGTAGGTACCCACCATTGGTGTGCCAAAGAGTGGTCAAGTGGACCTACAAGGGCCAGCAGAAATGGAGAGCTTGACCTCTAAGACAGCTGTATAATGCCAACCAAGCAAGGCATCTCTGGTCCTTAGTCTTCCCTATCTATAAAATGGGGTCCTGGGTTGTACTTGGTACTAGATATGCTGACACTTAGAAAACACTGTAGGGTACTCATGTCTAGGCATGTGCAGTGTGTAGGCAAGGCCACTCCACAAGTCTCTCACTTCTCAGTAAGAATGCCATCCTGACCACTGGGGGCAATGTCATTTTTTCCCCCGATGAGTGCAGCTTTGTGAAAAGTTCTGGAAGTTCAAGGCAGAATCGAGGGCATGGGGATCACTGAGCCTCAGAGGGGAGTGGTCTCCTGAGACCGAGGAGGCCTAGGGAAGCCCCAGTGCTCCTCAGCACCTCCTGGGCTGTACCTGAAGAGACGTGGAGGCAGCCCCAATCAGCAGGCCTAAGGACTGGGCCACCAGGGAGGTCATGGTGCCAAGGGCAGCGAACAGCACGAAGCGTACGGCGTCCGACGGCTGTGACGTCATCCAGTACACGATGCTGCAGTAGGCCACGGGAAACATGATCTGAAAGGACAGAGCCGGTGTCCCTGGGGGCTCCGCTTGTCCCGCCAGCGGACAGTGGCAGACCCCACAGATCCCACCAAATTCCAGCTTTGCCTCTTGACAGAACACTAGTAGAAACCAGTCCCACCCAGCTCTGTGGGTGTGGAGAGTTCCGGTCCCCTGGTGCCAGTCGCTAATGGCTCCCTTACCTGGAAGGGGACATCAGCCATGGTCTTGGCCAGGTAGTAGGCCTTCAGGCTGTACCAGTAGTTCAGGTGCTCTCGGAGGAAGACACTCATCTCGAGGGGAACTAGGGAAGAAGGTAGACGAGAATGGTAGGGTGGGCACAGCCAAAGAGTCAGATATGCACATGAATGGCCTTGGGCTGAGCCCTGGCGGTTCTGACCTATGTCACAGTGTGGGCCATCACTCCAGTACTCTGACTTGAAACAAAAGATGGAACCAGATCCATTGGTCTAGAAAAAGAAACTCCCTAGCCATTTCTCTAGTCTCAAGAGTTACGGGGTGGGCTGAACGAGAAATTCCCCCATAGGCTCATGTATGTGAACACTTGGTCCCCAGTTGGTGGCGCTGTTTGGGGAGGTTATGGAACCTTTAGGAGGCAGAGCCTTGCTGGAGGAAGTGCATCACTGGAGGGTGGGAGTTAAGGATTTATAGCCTCCACCTACTTCCTGCTTTTGCTCCCTGCTTCATGTGGCCAGATGCGGGGCCTTCCCCGCCATTATGGATGCTGGCTCTGGAACTGTACGCCAAAATCAAGGCTTTCTTCCTTCATTTGCTTTTGGTTGTGATATTTTATCACAGTGGCAAAAAAGAAACTGATCCAAGTGGTCACATGAAGATCTAAAGTAGACCATGTCCCTGAGAACACCAAGTGTCCCCGTGGTGGCTAGCGGGACCGTTATGACCAGCCCTATCCCTGCTGGGTTCATCAGATCTCTAACCCTTAGTTTTCTGCTTTTGTACCTAGTAGCCTGGAGTGGCCACAGCTGGCCACCCTCGGCTATCTGGATAGCTGAACTCCACTGGTCAGGTGGGCACAGCCAGCAAGCCAGATCTGAGGGTCTCTTGAGGAGCAAACTGGGGAATTTCTCTCCATTGCCTTCCACCATGCCTAGCTGCCTTTCACTGAGATTTGGTCATTTGTACTAAATACAGTATTTTTGTGTGCATGTGTGAGTGTGAGTGTATGCCATATGTGGGCAAGGACCCACAGAGACCAGAGGCATTGGATCCCCTGGAGTTAAAGTTTATAGGTGGTAGTGAGTCATTCGACATAGGTGATAGGAACCACATCCTGGTCCTATGAAAGGGCAGGTGGTATGTGCTCCTAACCACTCAGCCATCTCCCCAACTCATTATACAATACTTTCTTATCCAATAGCAAATACATGACAACCTGTTTTGTCAACATACAAAGGTTGAGTTTGAAGCATCAAGGCACTGTATGCTATAGAAGTCATGCCTGGTCAAGGCAAGGGCCCAGCCCCCACGCCTCGGTAGGCGTCCCAGTGAAAAGGGAGGGGACACTCACAAGTCAGGACCGTGGGCATGAGGGCTGCAAACATCAGGAAGAGCATGGAGAAGAAGAGGAAGCCAGAGTTGCTCAGGACCTTCTTGGCTTCGTTCCCGATCCCCAGGTACAGCAGGCCAATGAGCAGGCCGATCCCGATGTGCGAGGTGATTCGCAGGTGCGTCAGGACCTAAGGGCAGGCACAGCTCTCATCCAGGGCACAGGCGTGAGAGGACAAGCCCAAGACCACTGGAGGCATCGGTTGTGACTCCCATGACAGCAGATCATATGAGCCACCTTCCCTTTCCTTCAGGGAAATAATCATATGTGCACACGCGCGCGCGCGCATGTGCGCGCGTGCACGCACGCACGCACGCACATACACACACACACACACACACACACACACACACACACGTCCGCATGTACACACCCCCACCACCATGTCAAGTCATGTACCACGGAAACAGATCACTATGCTTTGTGGCTTCTCCTCAAAGCTGGCACACAAGGCTGGCCTCCCTCCAGAGGAGACAAAACCATGGTGGGGATGACTCTACTGAAGCCTCTCATCCTGAGTTGTGGCTCGGGTTGCGATAAGCCTGAGCCCATGCCTGATAAGTTACAGATATCCCAGATCAGGGCCCCGAGGCTACACTGGGCTTCAGCCTCCCCAGGCAGGCTGCCTCGTGCCTACTGGACGGGTGGTACTAGCAAACTTGAGTCATCCCCTGCCTCCCTCTCTGCGTGATCCTAATTCTCTGCCTTTCTTCTAGCACGTCTATGCATGTCCATATTGGGGTTATCCTTTGTTTGGGGTTTGGAGTGAGAAGATAGATGGGGGCCATGCCCACCTCGACCCACAGCACATACATGACACCAGCAAGACACACATTGGGTCTTGTGGACACAGGTACCTTGGGGCCTTTTGTTACTGCAGCGCAACAGTGAGAGCTGACTGATACAAACTGAGGAACAGCAACTTCAAAGTGTGCTTGGGGTGCGTGTGTGAGGAGACAGACCGATCGAGGACAACCTTACCGAGTCACGCATGATGCTGAGGAAGGTCCTCTTAAAGAGGATGCAGAATTGGGTGAGGCAGCTGGCCGAGAAGCTGTGGCATCCTTCCATGGAGGCAGAGTCCTGAGGACACACAGTGAAGGGGGTGAGTGAGCCTCCTGCCCATCCTCCTTGTTCAGGAAGGACCCTGCAGGACCCATCTCCAGACCACTCCAATCCCTTCACCTGCTTTACCTCCTCAGCAGGCCGGTGCCAAAGAAATGGGTTCACGTCCGTGTCGCCCCCGAGATCCCTCTTATAGTCAGAGTCACACATGCCCTCCCGCACAGCTCTCACCAGGCGGCTGTTCTGATCGCCATACTCGCCTGACGCCACTTCCATGACTGCAGGAGACACAGAAAGGTGACATGAAATGGGGACTCCTGAGAAGAAGCACGACAGTGCTGATGGGAACTGAGGGTCTCTGTCACTTTGTGCTAGCAAGGTCTATACGGCAATGAGAATGCTTTACAATGAGTTATAGTGGTTCCTGAGAGCCACGGCAGTGGGTTGCTGATTGACTAATGCTCGTTCACAACCCCCCAGTAAGCCAGGCACGGTGTCAGGAGACCAGAAATGCAAACACACAAATGTGCATCATGCTATCGGCTCACCCAGGAAGCAAGGAACTCATGCATGTGTGCCATGACCATGTGTACAGCATACATTGAATGTCTGCTCTGGACCAGCAGGGGCTAGAGTGTGAGGAAGCTGGGCTCCTTGCTCATGTGCTGAATAAAAGGGGCAATGAATGGTCCATAGGGAAGGACTGCCCACAGCCCACAGGGTCCACTGCTCTGAGGCTGGGGACCATGGGCCACACCCCTCGCCTCCAAGCAAGCAGCTTCTCCCCTGGTTTTCCTTACTTGCTTCCTCTGTCCATCCTGGACCCCATCAAAGTTCCCTCTGCCTAGACTACTTCTGTGACTGCTGACTGGTCCCCACTCACTCCATGGTAACGACAGCTTGTTGTTGCCTAGAGACCTCTGTGACCGGTTCCTTCCTCCACCACCTCCCCGCATAGCACAGTCCTCATCTCTAGATAGACCCTGCTGCTGATGTCCAAAGACCCCTCCTCTCCTGGACCCTGCAGCAAACTTAGCAACTCCCTTTTCTAAGCGGCATACCAGGCTGAAGCCAGGACACATCGGGCCCCTCTGGAAAAGTGTCACTTGCCACACCAAGTAAGTCCCCAGCACTGCCCGGTCCATCTCTGGACTCCGCGGGGGTATACACACCACTCCTAAGTGCTGCAGGCCCCGCCTTTCCTTCAGAGGCCCGTCAGAGGAGAAAAACCCCTGGGAAGGGGCCTCCTCAAATCACCAGACACCCGCCATCTTCCCACGACCCATGGGATCCTCCCTCCTGCTTGTCCTCCTCTCTGGCTTCCACTCCCTTCCCCTGCTCAGCAGGACTGACTGACCTGCTCTCCTCTCTTACTCTCTCCTGGGAGGGAATAAGCCAACTACAAACAAGATCTTTCTCTTGGCTTTTAAATAGGCCCAGTTCTTCCCTTTACACAGCACGTTCCCTCACCTGTCTCCTCCTGTCTCCTCCCCACCTTATAGCAGTATGCTTCTTGTGGGTGAGGAACATTCCCAGGATCAAGGACCCCTGAAAACAATTTGGGAAATGACATATGGAGGAGCCCTGGGAGCTGAGTGGCCAGATGTTTGAAAGAAATACAGCTGTGGGGAAAAAAGCCACACAGGAGGGTTGTCTGGCTGGGGTCTCTGAGTGGCCCTGAGTAGCAAGGTGCTTACAGAGAAGCCGTCATGGATGTAGCGTTGGTCCTAAGTCTAGTGGCCAGAGTCCCCATAAGAGGGGATGCCAAAGAGACAGAGGGCGAGGCCAAGCAAAGACAGAGCAGAGCCTTGTCATTGGACAAGTCCTCCTGGGAGAGAGGCCTGCCTGAGGTTCTCACAGGTACCACCACAGGACGGCCCCGCCCCATTGGTGAGACACAGCAGTAACTCCAGACTCAGGCATTGGATCTCAGTGGAAGACACAAGACTGGGGGGAGATTCCCTTTCCTTCCAGCTGGGTGGGCTCTACTCACCGAAGTCTGCAGGGTTGTGGTAGGTAGGGCAGTTCAGACCCAAATCCCTCAAATACGGCACGAGATTCGAGACCTTCCCCCGGTAGACACACTGTCCTTGACTTAGGACATAAAGCTGAGGGAGAGGAAGAGAGAAAGGCATCATTCACAGCCTCTCCTCTGTGTAAATCAACGGAGCCTCTCACTTCTGTCAATCATCCGTCAGCCAGTCTGCCCCCCATTGGTCAGCCAGCTTGTCAGTCAACCGGTCAACAAGTTATTCAACCAGTCAGTCATTAGTCAGTCAGCCAACCAGCTCGTTGACCAGCCAGTCAGCTAATAACCCTGAGAACCGGCAGAAAGAATAAGGATCCAGGGTCTAATTTTCCCAGGCTGCCTCAGTCCCATGAGAGATCTTGGGATGGAATCTGGGATGGAGACGGAGGTCAAGTACATGGCCAAGGCTGGGGCCCGTGTACCTACCTGGTCAAACAGCTCGAAGAGCTTGGCGCTGGGCTGGTGGATGGTGCAGACGATGGACCGGCCGCCCTGGGCCAGCCCTTTCATCAGGGACACCACCTGGAAGCAGGAGGCGCTGTCCAGGCCACTGTAAGTCAAAGACACCATGAGATGCTGTGAATGGGAAGAACAAGCCTAGTGCCCCGGGTCTTGGGGGGGGGGGACCTGGACAGTCACTGCCGAGGGAGGGCATGTCGTAGGACCCCGTGGCTGCACCCCCAAGGTCATGCTCTTCTCAGCCTGCGTAACTGTTCAAGGGTGGCACTTTGGTGGGAGCTGTGTGCGCTGTATGCCACTCCTGGCAAGAATGCAGGAGCCCAGCAGATTCCTGAAGGGCTGGATGTGGAATGGGGGAGGGGATCCCCCACCTGCCTTGGCGAGAGACATCAGAACTGTCCGGGTAAATACGGGGCTCCAAAGTAAGCAGTGAGGCCCGGCAGTCGGTCGTCCGCAATCCCACACCCTTTGGCCCACTTGGGGGCTGTCTGAGGGAGTGGGCTGGGCTGTGGCTGTGCTCCTTCTGAGGTTTTATTGACTATACGGATGCCTTTTGTGCGGAGGCGGCACCTTGAGGCGTGCAGGGTTTAGCCAGGATCTGGCACTCCTGGGTGAATTTTCCTCTCTCCTGCTTGAACACTCCCACCCCATCTTGTTTCTACTATGTAGCTTCCAACAAGAGGAGTGAGTCACAGTGGGGACCCCTGAGCACTCGCTGTCCCCCAGGGCAGGGAGCCTGAGAGAGGCAATATGAAGGTTTCTTGCAGCTGTCTTTTGGGCCCTTCTAATTACCATCTACTGTGGGCCAGGCACTCGGCAGGGCTGAGGTGGAGGTGGACCCTCCCTGGGATGCTGGAGAAGGCCCTCAAGTTCAGTGAGCATCCACGAGATGAGCACACAGTGGGAAGGAGATGACCAAGTCTGGATAAAGTCAGTCAGGACAAACCCTGTGCGGCCGGCCTGCTCTGTTGGGAATGCCCGAATACAACATGCTTGGGAGAAAGCTGGGCTGACTAACTAGTGGCCAGTGTGCTCTGGAGCCAGGACTGGAGACCAGCCTCTCCCCAGATGTAAGCAGCTGTGTCCAGGACGGAATTCAGGAATCCCATGGCCACACAAAGGCAGTGTGCCACTCAAAATGGAAGCGGGTACTTAAAACACAATACAGCAGGCCCCTTCCTCAGAATACCCCACCACACCAGGCTTCAGGGCACTACACCACTGGTAACTCGGGAACAAGGGAGAGATGGACACTACGGGATTGTTTCCAAACTCCAACCATCTCTCCACATTCAGTACCCCACGACCCAAGCACACACAAGCCTCTGAGCCAGTGGCTTTGTCCTGCCATCCCGCAGACAGGGCAGTCTCTTGTAGCTCCTGCAAGGCCATACCAAGATGGCAGGGCCGCTGCTGAGAACCCCAGAACAGACTCTAGAAGGGACTCTTCCCTGTCCTTCCCTGGTCACCAGTGCAGACACCAGACACAGGCGTACCTGGTGGGCTCATCGAAGAACATGACAGGAGGGTTGTTGACCAGCTCCAGGGCGATGGCCAGCCGCTTCCGCTGGCCCCCAGAGAGGCTCCCCGTCCGTGTATTGGCACAGGGCAGCAAGCCCAATGCCGTCAGGATCTCCTTGACCTGTGGGCAACAAAACCATATCTCTATTAGGAAACACCCTTCCAACCTCATGGCTATAAGGAACACATACTGAGCTCTGTGGGATGCCCTGCCCTGCTGGGCACAGCCTCGCTAGTCCATACACAGATGTCTACACTGCTGGACCGTCCCAGGCCATCCCAAGTGAGTGGCAGGTGCTGTCTGTCTCTAAACCTGTGGTCCTGTCTGGAGAGACAGGCGGAACTGTCAAGAGTCAAGAAGTGGCATTGGGAGTTCAAGTCAAGGGCTGGAGTCTTTACCCAGCCTCCAGCTGGTGACTCGATGTCATCTTTTACTTCTAAGCTGAGCCTAACGTCTGGTGCGCAAAAAAAAAAAAAAAAACTGGGAAAAAAAAAAAAAAAAAAATGTCCTATAAATATCTGATCAATGGATAGATTAATAAACACATAAGTGGATGGATGATCAGGTCACTGACCATCAAATGCAGTTAACGGCTGCAAAGTGCCCTGTTGGAACACTTAGCACACTTTAAGCATTCCCAACAGTTATCACTCATGTTTCTCGTCTCACATGGAGCACGTGAGCCAATTCTCTCCAAGCTCCCTAACACACCCCCTGAGCCAGCCCTGTCAGGAGGCCACTCGAGACTGTGAACAGGTGAGTGGCTCAAGGCAGCAAACAGATCTGTGTTGTAAGTGACACAGTGGCCACCCTGTGCTCAGGGCCCTGGGAGGAAGGCTGGGAATAGAGACAGGCAGTTAGCTGTGTGCAGCGTCCTCTGCTTGTCCCGGGACGGTGACCTAGTGGTGTCTCAGGGAACAAGCAGGTCAGCAGGCTCTTGGGAAGCAGAGGCTCATCCATTTGCCACATCCCTGCCAGGCTTCTCTCCAGGGGGTTCAGTGATTCCTTCCAGAGTTTGCCCAGAGGCGGGACAGCTCTGAGGCACCCAGTCCCTGGAGGCCATACCAGGAGGACCTCGGCCAGTGGCTTCTCTGGGGAGATGAGGTCATCCAAGAGGAGGAGAACTCAGAAAGAAGAAAACTTTCCACTCGGGACTTCTGAATTATTTATGCGTGGCCAGGACAGACTGAAACTCGGGTGGCAGAACCACCTGGAACCCAGTGCTGGTGGGGCTGGGAGCGGGTGCAGTGTGGGGCCAGGGACCCGGGATCAAGTCCTGCTCTGCCTCTTCTTGCCGATGTCTTCAACGCGGCACCGCCATCTCCTTCTGGAATGCCATGCCTCCGAGAGATGGATGTCTGCCCTGGGAACAGCTTCCTGGTGGCTGTCCGGGAAGGGCCAGAGAGGCAGCACCACAGTGGATGGGCCTTTCTTGTTGGCATTTTTGCTTCTTGCCACAATGTCTGCTGGTCTTCCAACACAAGGCTTCCAGGCTCTTGCAGACTGAGCCAGCAGTGTGGCTGGGGTCATTTCCTCTGTGGGGACATTCCATACACTAAGTGCACCCCCTTTTCTTCACTGTCATGGAAGGGAAGTGGAAACAGAGGCCACCAGCTGGTGGCTGTCCTTCTGGCCACATGACCCTATTTCTACAGCCATCAGGCCTGGCCCATTCTCTCCAGCCTTTTCTCAGAAGTAATACTATCCAGGTTGGTTTTGGTTTAAAAATAGTCAGAAAGAAAAAAAAAAAAACCAGGGTCATTTTTTAATATGTTTCCCTAAATAAGCAAACAAACAAAACACAAAGCAAAACATCCCCATGGTCACTTGTAATTCAAGTCCCCCTGGGACCTCACTGTCTAGGGATGGTCTCAGCAGCCCGAGACTGGCCCATGGCAACCTCCCTCTCAAGGAAGCAGCTGTACCAGAGGGCTCCTCAGAGCCAAGGTGCCTTTTCTGGGAAACAAGGGAATTTGTGGACAACATACTCCATGATGTACTAGAACATTCCATTCCATTGTTCTTCCACGCGCTATACACGGCATTCACCAAGGTACTGCCGGGAAATGAGTCAGGGTAGCCTCCCGCTGCAAATCTGTCCTTGAGACGTCTGTTACTGGCTCCAGGATGATGGGAGCTGTGCACATGTAAGAGTCCTGTCAGTCTGAGGCCTCGCTATGACTTTTCCCAGAAGGCTCCAGGCTTCTCCAAAGGATGCAGCAGCAGAACAGACTTCTGAGGCCTGACCAGCACCCTGAAGAGGGACCAGCAGCTAGACTCTGGCAGTACCAAACAGCATTCCAGGGAAAGCAGCCCTGGAGGCCAAGTGCCTGCCTCACTGTGGTCATCCGCTCAGAGGCCTGAGTCCTATGACGTCTACATGGGACAAGGCTGGCCACAGAGCCACAGCTGTGGAGAAATAGCCCTGCCTCCATCTCTCCGTCCTGCATTCACATTGATTTTAGAGGCTTAAAGACTTGAGCCTGAGTGGCTGGTGGATGGGAGTGACCAAGGATGGGAGGTGGTCCAGGAACAACCACAGTCTTCTGATCAGTTGCCAGGAGCCACAAGGATGCTCCAAAGGAAAGAGCTCCATCCACCTGGATTCACTTCTGGCTTCTGCCAATCCCACCGCTGTTCCAGCCGGTGGCCTTCCTTCTCACCAGTGGAAGTTGGGATGCAAGGGCAGGGGGTGCCGGAGTAGGCTCCGATACAGGATGGAGGACCCTGTCCGTTGGTGCAGGTCATCTCAGGCTCAGCTTGGCACACCGTGTTCTGACACTTGGTTTCCTCTCTTTCCTTTCTAGAGCTTTCTTTCGTCATCCCAATAGTTGCTTGACTTGAGTCGGCTCAAGCTGCCGTGACAGAGTATCCCAAACTGCGGGCATAGACACTGGAAATGCCACCTCAGAGTCTGATTGATAGCTGGTCGGTCAAGCTCAAGGCATGGTGGCGCTGGTTCTTCCCCGCCCCTCCTGACTCCTCCCTCCCCGGCTTGCAGATGGTGTTTTCTCCCGGAGCATGCTTGTGTGCTGACCTCCTCTTCTTGTAAGGACACAGTGAGATTGGATCAGAGCCATCTCAATGACCTCAAGTTATCTTAGTCATCTCTGCAAACAGCCTGTTAATTCTGAAGTACTGGGGTTAGAATGTTAGCTCATCCTCTTGTGTGTGTGTGTGTGTGTGTGTGTGTGTGTGTGTGTGTGTGTGTGTAGGGGGGTGTCAGCCCCTCAGCTGTCTCTTCTTGTGTTCACTTTCAGGGACAGTGGAGGTGTGGGGGGATGGGTGGTGGTGTCCTTCTAAGTCACATTATTTGGAAAAGACTGGAGACTACAAAGGCTCTGGAGCTCACCCTCAGGACAAGGTCACAAGCCCCATTCTGCTGCCCACATGTCGTCCCTGAACTTTCCACATCGTCTCTGTGTCGGGTACAAATGGTCAGTTTCTTCCCCTCAATCTCAGAATAAGAGAATTCCACAGGAAACATTTTCGGTAGTTCCAGTGGGCTGTTTTCGCTTCAGAAATAAGTTCTTCCTCTCTGCACTGCACGCCCTACTACCACGATAGAGAATCCCAAGACTGAGGGTCTTGTGAGAAAGGGAAAGAGGAACCCTCAGGCTGTCCGGAGCTGCTTTTCCACTGCCAGCCTTAATCTACATTCTGGGCAGTAAAAGGAGGAAGCATGTGAACAGAATTATAAAAAAAAAAAAAAAAAAAAACCACTTCCTTAGGTAAGTATTTAATGATATCCAACTAAATGATGCACCTCACATCACGCTATGGGTGTCCCTGGCAACTGCACTACCCCCATTTCCTGGCCTTGGAACGTGCCAGGAGGCAGAGATAACATCATGTAAGGGGGAGGGGCTTCTGCTACATTCGTCTACAGAGTATCCCAGGAGCAGAAGCGCCAGAAAGGAGGAGGATGGCTGAGCCTCTCTAGGGTAGCCTATGAACAAGGATTGATCTGCATGACCTCCTGGGGCTCCTGGTGGGTCCTGCTTGCATCCTTCCCCATTCCTCAAGGGTTCAGGGAGCCAGGAAAACTGATAAAAGGGAGGAGAAGAGTCTCAGATAGGCTGGGAATGTTTTTATCTTCTTTTGGAAAAGCTGCTTAATAACACATAAGAGTTCAATTTCTCCTTGCAAAGGTATGTGGGTGGAGGGGGTTATTTTTAAACCAATGACTAAACCATCTCCATTGTCAGCATTTCACAAAAATTTATTTTAATCTAAAATGTATTAAACACCCAAGGGGGTGGAGCCCTTGGCCAGGCCCTGAGGCTGGCATCTTCTGGCCATAGAGGGGCGGGGCTAAGGCTGCATACTGCTGGATCTACACGTCAATCTAGCCCCAGAACCATCTCTCCTGGACTCCAGCCATTGCACCCTGCCACACACTTTCTGATGCCCCCACATACACACCCAAGGAGAGGCAAAGAACATCAACAGAGAAAAATCTAGAAGAGAGGACTAGGTAGATCCTCCCCACCATTTTCCACATGTGCCCCCATCACACTCTGGGCCACACGTGACTTGGAGCATCACACTCACCATCTCCCGTCTGCCTTCATCCTTCTCCTGCAGCTTCAGATGTGCAGACACCTGTAGGCAATAAGGACAACAGTGAGGTGGCTTCTGGAAGGAGGCGTCTCATGGGATCCAAGCCAGGTCCAGGGGTCAAACCACAGTTCAAAGCTACACCATGGTGTAAAGCCACACCACGGTCCAGGATCCCATCAACTTTTTAAGCTGCTTGATGGAGTCACAAGACCCAAGAGAGATGAGCTTCCCACTCCCATGGCCTGATAGAGGTGGGATCCTGGGAGGGCTCTGTGGGTCTGCTAGGCTTCTTGTTATCTTAGGTGTCCCCGTGAGATGTCTCTGTTCCAGCACAGAGACAAGGAAACCCTAAGCAGCAGGGTTTGAAGACAGTCTTGGAGGGGACCAGTAGAGCATTCAGGACCTCCACAAATCAAGTGATAAACCATTGCTGACTTGAACTTGCCACTTTGGGAGGATCTGCAGATAGCAGGTATGGGGCAGTGGGATGAACTTCCTGGTTTTTTTTTTTTTACTCAGATACTGTTTACCAGTGTAGAATGGGGTCCCCAGCCTTGCCTGGTGAAACCCCAGGACAGAATCACCTAGCCCAGGTTCATCCCTGTTTCAGTTATATCAGACTCTGTGTTCTTGGGCACATCTGGGCCTCAGTTTCTTGACCAGCACAAAAATAAGCTTAAAATCTTCCTCATTAATTGGTGAAGTTGCCAAAGGGGTCAGATCAGAGACTGAGAGGCAAGAGAAGGGACTGAGGAGGTCTCAGGCCTCAGAGTGGGTCAAGGGTGGGTCTACATCACCTCTACAAGGCCAGCTGCCTGTCATGTGACACTGAGTGTCACCAGGACCTGTCGGGATGGACATGAAGCACACACACACACACACACACACACACACACACACACACACACACACATAAAAATGTACAATTGCTGTAGGTCAGTAGCCAGTGGCCAGGAAGTGGGGCCCATGGAAGACAGGATCTTGAGGGGTAGAAAGTTTAAAGAGAAACATCCTCAAATGTGCTGTGAAAGCCCCCGACTGAGGATCTAACTGTATGTGATTCTGAAAATGGATGTATTTCACAGCAAGACCTAGAGGAGTCATAATCACCACAGAAGAGAAATCAGTGGAGCTGGAGAGTCCAGCAATGGTTCTCACACCAGCAACCACAAGGTCCACCAGGGACTCACCAAGAACTACAACCAGGCCACCCAACACATGGAGGGCCACTCGGGACTCACAGGACCAGGCAAGCACATGAAGGCCAAGATTTGAGGTGAGGGAAACCTTCTCAGTAGGCTGCCCACCCTGGTCTGGGTGTACACCCTTCTGCATCCTCTTAGCCTGACAAGGCCCCACTGGAGGCCAGGTAGGCAGGCAGATCTCCCTAAAGTGACTATTTATGGGCTGGGTGGTGGTGTCCCCTTACCGTACCAGGGCAGAAGAGCTAAAGTAACCATTACTGCCGGGCCCTCTCTTTCTGTTTCCCCACAAAGCAGGTCGAGGAGCAGATCCCAGATCTGAAATCGTAACCCACTTTCCTTTATTGAGCTAAGACTCCTCTGAAATCACACAAAGTGCTGTGTGGTGGTCACTGTCTGGGCTTTGCCCATTCCAAGTCATGAACGTGAGGGCAAGACCTCTCCATGTAAGGCCACCAATATGAACATCTCATCTGCTAAGTGAAGTGCAGAGTCTCTGACAATGTCCTCTTCAGGACCAGGGGAGGCACAATCCTACCGGGACTCCATGCAGTGTCACGGAGAAAGCAGAGAAACGGTGTCAGCTGGGCACAATGTGACATCACAAGCAGAGGCTACCAACCAGAGCTGAGCGTTGGTTTGTAAATTACCCTTTAATGAGAGACAGTCTAGAGGCTTCTTCTACCCACAATGAGATCACGTGGGCTGTCACTGACTGTGGGGTAGGCCTTTATAAAAAAAAAAAAAAATGATCCCAGAAGCCCAGAGTGCTTGCATTGGTGGGGACACCATGCAAAGAACACAGCCTGGCTGTTCTGGAAACCTAGGATACTGGCGTCATCTGGACACTTGCATGGCCCCAGAGGGAAAGGTATTTTTAAACTCTCCCTGGATTTACACACTGGAGTCTCCTGTGAAGATACGGTGAGCAAATATAGTAGGAGTGGAAAGAACCATGCAGACCCAAAAGGACAACATGGATGAGCCTCGGGGTCAAGGTTCGACTCCGCCTTCCTGTGCTACTCATTCACTATTCCACTAACAGACGGGAAGAGTCTCATAGACGAGGGAGCCATGGCCAAGGCGCTAACGCTACATCACAGATCGAGGTAGAGTTCTCGGTGGTGAAGCTTGGAGACCCTGGAGCTGCTTCCGAGTTCCCGCATGGTGCTGGAAAGCCTGCAGCCCCGACTCACGGCTTAACTCCCAGAGGCTCCTCTCACCCCTGCTCCTTACAGATGGCATAGCCTAGACCCTGTGGGGGCCCAGCAATGGCTGACTCTGCCTTTCACCTGGTATATGGGTGAGTCTGATGAAGCTCTCAGAGAACTAGCAATCCGCCAAAGACAGAACTCTTCAAGGACGGTGATGGAGGCTATGGCTGCTAGCTTATATGAGCTTGACATAGGCTAGAGTCATCGGGAAAGAGGGAGCCTCAGTTGAGAGAACAGCCCTGCCAGGTTGGCTTGTGGGCAAGCTCCACCCCTGGGCTGGTGGTCCTGGGTTCTATAAGAAAGCAGGCTGAGCAAGCCATGAGGACTAAGACTGTAAGCAGCACCCCTCCATGGCCTCTGCGTTAGCTCCTGCTTCCCGGTTCCTGCCCCACCTTAGATGATAGACTACAATTATAAGCTGACATAAACTGCCCCCCCACCATGTTTTTGGTCATGGTGTTTTATTCCAACAACAGAAACCCTAATTAAGCAGAAGGGAAGTTGGGGAAATAGGAAGGCGGTTTCCATGAAAACAGTCACTCAACTTAGTGATTAATAATCGCAGAAACTTGGTTGTGACTTTGCCAAAGGAGAGCCATTAAAACTCCTAGTCCCAGGGATTATGTTCCACACAGCTGTGTAAGCCGCCAGCCTGGGGAGGCAGCTCTGAGAAAGGGAGCGAACTGCATGTGGCCGGGTGCAGCAAGTCTGCGTTGTGCCGAGGGCAGGGGTGGCTCACCATCATGGCCTCCTGAACGGTGAGGTGCGGCAGCAGCATGTCATCCTGCATGATGTAGCAAGAGACCTTCCGGAAGCAGCGCAAGTCCCGGGGCATGCCGTTGATGAGGACTGCCCCCTTCATGCCCGTCTCCCTGGAAAGGCAAGGAGAGGTGGCTGTCAGCCAGCTCCTTCGGTATCCCACCTTCGGGTGGCTCGGAGAAGCCAACCAGAGAGGGGGCCTCCCTACCTCCTGGGCTCTTCCCAGCAGAACCAATCACCATGGTGACAGGATGGGGCAGAGGGACCAGAGACCCAGAGCACCACACTAGCACTCTGCCGGGAGCAAGTGACCAGCAGGGAGACAAGCCACACACCAGGCGTCTCCCAAATGGTATGTGTATCACACCAGGTGGAAATGGTTTCTTTTCTTTGTCTACTGCACGAATATGCCTGAGGATGCCCCTTGATACAGCCACAGGGCAAGGATGTACACCACTGACTACCCCATCTGCAGCCCAGAATGTACAACATCAGCTACTCCAGGATCACAGGTGCATCCAGCAGGTGCCTCAGGCTCAGGTGGCTCAGAGAAATGTCCCAGCCATGGCAGTTCAGCCCCAAGACTGGTCCTGATGCAAGGGGAGAACCTTCTGACTGCAGGTGGGGAGGTTGGGAGCCTCTTGTGTCCTGACAGGGATGGAGGGCCACTGGCCCAGCTGCCACTCTGTCAGCTCCGCATGCGTGTGCACACTTGGTCTGCTGCCTCTCAGGTACTTCTAAGCGCCAGCAGAGCTGGCTTCCAGGGACCCCCTGTCTTCCTTTCCTCCCAAAGACACCTCTTTGCAACTCTGCCTCCCTGTGGCCAGGGAGAAGAGTAGCATTATAGAACCCGTGGGGACTAATAGAATCATTCTGGGTTCCAGCTTCCCCTGGCCCACTGTCAAGGCTGACGGCCTTGTAGTGGGCCCTACTTTCTTCCCAGGCAATGACCAGCTCCCCTGGCTTCCTCTGGGTACCCAGCCTGGCAGGGCTGCCTCTGCATCTCTGGAATACATAAGCACCCTGGTCTTCTAGGAATTGCCGTAGTGTTCTGAAAAATAGCCAGCCTCCCCCCCCCAATACCCCACTTGGCGCCCTCCCTGTCTTGACCCTGGGAGTTGAGAATGTGGCTGTGATCTTTAGATGTGAGTGTTTTGGAGAAGAACTTGTCACAGTGATGGCTTTGAAAAATCATAATCTCTGATATTAAGAAGCAATTCAGAGCTCTAAGGAACGGTGAGTTTTATCTCCCCACCTCACCCCGGTAACTGAAATCATTAGTATTACAGGTGTTCATCATTATTCTCAGCAACTATATTATATTCTGGCTTGCATCTGAAATGTCCCTCACAGGGTGTGCTTGACCTCTTGGTCGCCAGCTTGTGGTATTGAAATGGGAGGCTGTGGGGCCTGGGTGGTAGAGGTGGGTCACTGAGGACAGGCCTTTAAAGGCTGAAGCCTGGATCTTCCTCTGGCTCCACTCTATCTGCTTCTGGGGCAGTGCCAGGAAGTGAGAAGGCCTCCCTTGGGGAAGCCCTCCAGCTTCCACAAACCAAGCTGCTTCAGCTGCCATGCTTTTTCCCATGACTGTGCCCTCCGAGACTGTGAGCCAAACAGACCCTTGCTCCCTCAAGTTGCTTCTGCAACAGGGATTTGGCCACAGAAACAGGAAAGTAAGCGACACATTCTAGGTAGATACTGAAGCCACACAGAGTTTTGTACACTATATGGACCATGACTTTTTCTATGCCACGTGTGTTAAAGCATAATTTATAAATGAAGCATGGCAAGAAATTAATAATAACAACTAATAAAACAATTATAATGTGTCATAATAAAATTGTCAACATTTTCATCTTTGTGCTTTGGGGACATGATTAAGAAAAACAAGGGTCCCTTGAACAAAATCCCATATCTCTCTAGCCAATCACATAGCCTAGACAGTTAACAGGTATAGAGTGTGGCTACACTGATCCATGTCCTAGATGGGACAAAAGTGGCATCAGATTTCATCAGATTTGTTTTAAAAAGATGTGTGCAAGTAAAGTATGGATTGTTTAGAATGGAATTTGAATTCTTTTGGTCCATGGTTAACTATGGATTATTGTTGCTGCCACTTCTTGCTCTGTGAGAATGGAAGAACAAGATTTCAGAAGGTCATTCTTAAGCACTTCAAAAGCTTCCATTTTAGAATCATTCACAGATGAATGACCTTGGTGTGACCTTAGCAAGGGTGATCCCTAACATCCTGAACAACCATAGAGACCACAGGCCTTGGACATGGCAGCTCCTCACTCTCCTCTGTCACGCCTTGTCTAACTGTCCAGCAAGCCTCCCGACTGGCTCTCTGTCTTCCAATTATTGCTCTTCCAGATCTTGACCTTGGTACATTTTCCTGTCCAGAGGGTAAACTGAGGGAGGTGCTAATTAGGAAGCTGCCTTGTCCCCCTGCCTGTGCTCTCTTCTTCACGGCCTGTGCAACCATCAGCAGGTGCAGGCTTTCAGCACTGGCTTCTCTGTCTTGTTTCCCTCCTGGACTCTCAACCTCTGGACACAACATGCACCACACACACACAGAGGCACGTATGAACGCATGTGCTCCGTTTCCCAGGAGCCCATGTGAGCAGAGCTTCTGGTAGCAAATGCTGTGCATGACAGAATGCTCCTTGTGACGACGGCCCTGAAGTGGCTCCACCCCTCACACAGCTTTCCCTGCTGGCATCTGCTCACCTGTATCCTGCCAGAATGTTCATGAGCGTGGACTTCCCAGCTCCAGAAGGACCCATGATGGCCACCAGCTCTCCACTGTTGAATTTCCCAGAGATCCCCTTCAAAAGGGTCTTGTATCCTGCAAAATGCAGATTGGATTAATTTTTCTAGTTGTCGCATGCTTTGTTAGGCCTCAGTCCTGAACCGCTTGAAGCCAAAGGCAGAGTCTCCCACAGTGCAGTATGAAAGGCTTATAGGTGGCGTTCTAGGCCAAAAGCAGACCTTGTGTCTGTTTTATACTACTGTCTGCTTCCCAGAATGACCTCACACTGTATATTCATGATCACGGCACATGCATATTGCTTAGGGTTTGCAGAGCACTTGTCCAAATGGCATCTAAGTTTAGGAGGATCCACCATTCCCATCTCAAAAGGAGGACAGGTGGACAGAGCCTATTCAGCACCGGACCAATGGCCATTTTCTCAGCCTGATGTGGTGCACAGGTGCCTGTACCAACAGGCAATTATCTCAGCATTTCATTTGCGAGCTTTTTACTTACCCTTCTAGGCTTACACAAACACAAGTAATTTGTACACAATTCACAAGCACTTGCTTTATGATTAAATAATATAATCAATGCATTGTTAATTCCTCTATGAATGATTGAAAGGGCTTATTGTCACAGAGTCACATCAAATGTCTAGGGAATGTCTGCCAAGTGTCTTCTGCCAGGATCTTTAGAAAAGGGGGGCAGGGGCGGGGGGTACACATCCGAAACAAAGTCAGAACACTGCAGTTTTCAAGTAGACGGTGGAAATGTGCTGTAAATGATAAATGGAAGCCATTGGTTCGGAGATAAAGATGCCAACTCAGACATGTCCCTCGGCATGGTGTCAGATAAGAGCCCACCCTAGCGTGACAGGCAGACATTACATTTTAGCTCCTGTGCATAATGTCTAAAGAGACCTCATGAGCCAGGGACATGTGGAGAACTTGCCTGGTCTTCCCAAGTCTCCAGTGAGCACCCAAATTCCCAGATCTGAGAAAGCTTCACCCCAAAGGAACATTCTGCCCACAGTCTTACTGTCTCTCATGGATGGGACACTTGGACATTCCCAACCTGTCACCAGGTGCCACCTTAATTTGGACAAGGAGTCCCTGGAGCCTTGTTTAAGCGAGGCAGGGAAAAGCGGAAGCTAGAGCCAGGAAGCCTGAGGCTCTGAGACTGAATCATTAAGCAGAGGAGGTTGGCTGTCAGCTATCGCCCCAGAGGGCTGAGAATCATCCCAGTGGGAAAAGGGGCCCAGGAACGAAAGGGAGGGGCACCAAGGGAAGCTCTGAGCTGTGGAGGAACCCAGTTTCCCTATATAACGGCATGGGAGAGCAGGAACTGTGTCTGTCTTCAGTGGACAGACAGACGAGCAGACAGGCAGACAGAAGTACGGGAGAGTCAGGCAGACACTCTTCCTACACAAAGCCAAGCTCCCTGACCTGCAGGCTCATCAGACGGAGTTCTGCCACCTGGGGACAGATGTGGACCCCTCCAGGGGCCCCGAGTGACATCACCAAGGGAGCGGTAAATGCCCAGGCGCCTGCTCATTACTATACTTATCTATCTAGGCTGGAGTTGGGGTTACTGTGGAGCAAACGAGCAGCTTCAGGCTGCCTCCACCCCAAGACGAACACTCAGCCCCTGCTGAGCCCCCATGCGCTGGAAGCTGCTCAAAGCTGGAGACGGGTCACTGAGATGGCCACCAGCTGAGGGAAAGCCAAATATGGTGCAAGTTCCCTCTGGATGGCTCACATGAGAAAAACACATAGATGGCTGGACACAGCTGGGCTCCCAGCCTCCTGATCACCAGATGGGCATGTATGACGAGGTCTAGAAGCCACCTCACACTTCTCCTAACATGGCAGGCAGCTGTTTTTGCACATCCAGGGCAGAAGCAGATAGTTTCTTCTCTTAAGAATCAAGACCACATTCCTTTGCCTATGAACAAATCAGTCCTTCCTCTTTTCCCCCTTATCCATTTTCATGTGCATGTGTATATGTGTGTTTGCATGTACATAGAGGCATGCATGTATGTGGAGGACAGGGGTGGATTCTGGGAATCATTTTCCTCTTTCACCTTACTGAGGCAGGATCTGTCAATCAAACACAGACATCGTGGACATGGCTAGTCTTGCTCTACCTAGCTTGCACTGGGGATCCCCGCTCCCGGCCTCCCTGGACTGAAATTACAAGGGAGCCAGCCATGTCCACCCAGCATTTACGTGACTTCTGAGGTTCCAAACTCTGTCCTTCAGAGGAAGTCCTTGGACCACTGAGCCACTTCCCTCGCCCAAGCCTTTCCTCTTTCGCCAGGAAAAACCACTCCCTAATAATCCCATGAGCCTCTGCTGGCCACGTGAGACTCTCCCCAGCTAAGCTATACCTCTCACAGGACAGCACCTCCAGGATGAGCTAATGCTATGCCGGAAAGCAGAAGCCGTGCTCAAGTGGAATGCAATCGCTGTTTCCATCCCCTGCGCTAACACAGCGCTTCACAAACTGCACCTTCTCCGCCCACCAACGAAGGGGAGGCGGGTGGTGTAACTCAGGACCGGGACTACCTTTCTCGTTTTTTGTTTTGTTTTGTTTTATTTGTTTGTTTGTTTGTTTGTTTGTTTTTTTGTGGCCTGTGGCCTGCTGGGTGTTCCAGAAGGCAGCTTGGCTCACCTGGGTTGGACCTGGTGCCAGCTTTGCCCGCACTATTCAGTTTGCCCGCAGCATTCTATTCTTCTGTGCATTTTGCACACGCAGAAGGATCCAGAGAGGGCTGGCGCTGGCCAACTCTACCCAGCAGCCCAGCCAAGGAGACAGGGTACCACAGCTTCAGGCAGCCTGAGTTAGTTCGCAGACCTGGGGCCGCCTGCCTCTGTGCCAGCCTGGGCAGAGCAACCTGCAGGTCTCAGCAGCCTTTTCCTCTCCTGACTCCCCCCCACCTGTGAGCAGACTCAGTGCTCACCGAGTGCAGCTGCTCAATGCCGTCATAAAACATGCCACGTGTGTTATGCCCTTACTGGTGCCTGTGGTCCAAGGCCACGCTATGGCACTGAATATCAATGGCCTCTCTTCACTTCAAGTAAAGGGCGTAATCCACATAGACGTTGTTCCACACAGACATCATGTGGATGACATTACATCATGTCTGTGTGGATTAAGGATCCTGACTATGTCCGGGGTACATGCAGGGCACCAGCTCCAACCAAGAAGCACTCACGAGATTAGACAGTTCCAACCAGCTGCTTAGAGCTGTGATCATTTTCAAGGAACTAAAACCGTTCCTGGGAAGCCCGGGAGTCCCAAGGGCTTCTCTGCACAGGGGCCTGTCAGTCTGGAAGAAATCCTGTCCCCAGCATCTGCCCCAAGGTTGGCTTGTAGCTGTAAGAGCCTGCCACCACCACGGTGATGGATGGACACTCCCAGCAGCAGGCAGTCTCTGCCAATTGGCACTCCCAGGGCCCAGCACAGAGGTCACCCCATGAGTGGCAGCTGGAAAACCCACCCCCCGAGGAAGGGAAGGGAGATGTGTGTCTGGACAGCATGCTATTAACATCTCTGCAGGTGGGGCACCATTGTGGACTTCTGGGGAGCAAGCTGTCCCCAGGTGGAATGCAGTCTACTTCTATGACCTCAGCACCCCCAAGGAAGCAACTAAGGGGCAGCACCTGGCTGCTTTGGGGTAAGAGAGAGGCTTCAGAGGCCCAGACCTTCCAGGGGCCTCAGAGGAGTGTCCAACACCGACTCCAGGTCCAGCTACCTCACAGCCCAGGGCACTTGGCTCCACCCCCTCTTCTCGGGACAGCAGAGAGACAAGTTAGGAAGTAGATGCCTGACAGACAACAAAAGCCAGCAGCCAGACCTCCTGTGGAGCCCAAGATTTGGAAGTCACAAGTCACGTGCTAAGAGGCAAGTGCCCAGTGTGTGGACCCCTGAGCCTCAGGGGCTGGAGCTGGGAGAACCTGAATGTGGTAGGGAAAGCAGGACCACGCCCAACCTAGGCAGAAGTGTGGCCAAGCCGTGAATAAAGAAAAACAATGCAAATGAGACAAATAAAGGCCATCTGCTAGGCCCTGGGAGGCTGAGGATTTCTTCCTATCTATATAAGTGAGCCTCAGGCAGGGAGCAGCAAACCTCAGTGCTAACAGCATTCCAGCCTACTGGGGCCCTCTTCCCGTTACACCCACCGGGAAGAGCTCATGGTGAGTCTGCCCTGTGTCCATGCACACACACGTATACACACTCTGTGTACACACTGCCGGCATGTGCACAGGGACATTCTCCATCTATACATGAACACACTGTGTGCACTCACATGCCTGCAGCTTGTTATAAACACCATGGATGCAACCTCTCCCCCTCCACTGTGTTCGCACTCATCCATCACAGACACACCACACACACACACACACACACACACACACCTAAAGCACACAGGCTGAGTACAGACAGGCGAGGTCCTCAGACCACAGCCTGGCCATCCTTGGCCCAGCATGGAGGAAGCTGGCAGTCACTCGCATCCACCCACACGAAGCAGCTTTCCATTATACAGAATTTTGTATGCTTCTGAAAGCAAAGATAGTCTGTCTCCAAGCTTCTAAGCCTGGCTCGAACAATCTGAAACACAGTTCTTATGGTCCAAATGATGGCACAGCACCAGTGAGGACTCAAGATAGTCTCTAAATGCCGCATCAACCTTAACCTGAAGCCTATCTAGCTGTCCTGGCCTCCACACCTAAGGCCCAAACTGCCTCTGTGTAAGTCAGCGGTCCCTAGAACGAGCCTAACCTCACTTCCGGCTTCCCCTGCTCATTTCCCCACTCTCTCAGCTCCTACCTGGAGGGATCTGTCTCCACAACAGACTGTCTGCCTTTCCTGGCACTTCACACTCCCTCCTCAGGGGTAAATACAATACCCAAAAGACAAAGGTACACATTCTTCTGTTCTTCTTCTTATTACTATTTCATCATTTTATGTGAGTGTTTTGCCTGCATGTATGTCTGTACACCACGTGTATGCCTGGTGCCCATGGAAGCCAGAAGAGGGAGAGATTCAGATCCCTTGGAATGGGTGGTTGTGAATCACCATATGGGTGC